GATTCTATGATTCTATGATTCTATCTGATCTTCTGCTGACTGGATAACACAGACATGATGTTGAATTCCAGTTCTCTGTTTACCTCTTGGTATGAACTTCCCTAGATTTATCTAGAGTACATCTACTAGCTAACCACAAATTAAATTTTCCATCAGAACAATAACGATAATGAGGCAAAGGTGGTTGCAAAAAGGTTGAGCTGTTATTTCAAGAATAAACCAAGAATTTCATGCTGTAGGCAGGAACAGAGCTTTTGTAACAGCATCCCATGATTTAGGTTCAATGTGTTCCTTCACTGTCCCTCCCAGGCAGAGTCTTTCTTTGAGGTTTCTAAATGAATCTAACGTTACCGATGCACCTCTCCCAAAAGCTTTTCCTCATCTTTTACATAGGAGCTATTCAGCCTCTTTTGCTTCTCCTTAGAGGTAGGTGCTCTAATGTGTGCTGGAACAGAGCCATCTCTCCCAAGTGGCCAACAGTCTCATCTCTCTTAAGTCCAAACCCCTTTTTCTCTCTCTAGCACATGTCCGCACTGAGCTGCTTACCAGAAATCTGGCCTGGTCACTACTGCTGCTCACCCACCCACTGCTGCCCATCCCAAAGAAGCAGGGCTAGGAGCTGGCAGAGGGGAGATGTGAGAGCTGAACAAGGGAAAGATTTGCCCAGGAACAGGAGGTCATTTCCAGGGCTCACTTCCATTTTTCTCCTTCCTCATTACAAGACACCCTAGAAGACCATGGGCAGTGCTCTTGTATGGTACATATGTTGGTCCTTCCACCTGCTTGTTTGCAGACATCATGACCACTCTCTTAGTTCATACTAGGCAGCTTTTGCAGTGGCTTCCTTCCTCTTGGTTGTACTGCTGCTACTTTTCTTATACAATACATTGAAGTCTAAAGAAGCAGAATTTTATCCTTCTATGAGGCAATTTGCCCTCAGCAAGTCCATACAGTGAGTTGGTGGCAAAACGGGGAGTGGAATGGTAAAGCTGATTGGTGCCCAGCTTTTCTGACACTTCCACATATGACTGAATCAGAGCAGTTTAAGCAGTGTCTGTGTGGGAGATGGGAAGGGTATTGTATCTCTTCAGCCACGTAAGAGCCTGCTGGATACGTTTAAAATCTTACAAAAACTGAGGGTTGGTTGGTTGCTGGAATGGACTCCTGGCTGGTTATATAATGTTATGGTGCAAAAACAACAGCCATGAGATATATTTATACTTGGCCCAGGGCAGCTTTTTGTTACAGCACTTGATATTCTATGAAATACAAAAAATGTCTTTATATTTCTGTTCTAGGTAGTGCATTTATTTCTGTCTTATTCCTAAAGAAGACCATGAGGGCTGCTGATATATTGGGTAAGTAAGCATTTGCTAATATGGACATGTGTGTCGCCATATGCTTAGCAAGCTGTAACTCTCACACAGCCCCCCACCTTCACACTCCCACTTGCCTGAGCAAGTGTTTCGAGGCAGATACTTTCAAAATTGGGAAGAAGTGACAAAAAGAGAGAGAATCTTCAATGCATGTGGAAAAGACTGCATTCCCAAATCCTCTGCTCTTATAACCATAACTCATTCCTTATGTGTCCTTTTTGCTCAAATTTATTTTCATTGTCTATTTTTGCCTCTGAGGTTGTATTTAGTATTATCTTTATGAGTACAACACAATTTTAAGAAAAACAATGAAACTATTGAGTAATTCATTCAAATATAAGATTTTTTTCTTCTTACTGCATAGACATTGCACAAAAATTCAAGCTCAATTAAAAGTGACAACTTCCCTTTTGGTATTAATTTTATCACTTCAGAGAACAAATAATCATGTTGTCAATGTTTTGTTGGGAAACATGGTCTTCACTGTAAAAGCACGTCAACGTTTTGTCTGCGTCCAAGATTTTTTTGCAGATCAAAACTGCCCTGCTTGAACACAGTAATAGTGAGAGACAAACGTATTTAAGGATTTGGGCTTTAAAGACACAAGCCATCTCGGCTGGGACAGAGCACCTGGTGTTGCTACAGTATTTCTGTGGGGTTCCTAGCGCCTGAGCTTGATTGTCCATACTGTAACAAGGACATCCCAGCTGTTCTCATGAATGTTTTGGAGAGATCTGTTCCGTATTCTTCCAGGAATACTATAATATTTATTTAGGTTTGGGATCCAAGTTTGCCAGCTCAGCTGCTACATTCAAAATCCCCCCTCCCTTGACTGATCATGTTTCCCTTATGGCCTTATACATTGTGTGTTGCTTTAACCAGTGTTCAAGCACTGATTTATTTTATTTCTGTGAGTTCAACTTTGCAAGAAGGATTTAACAATGTTGCTACATTCCATAGGAATGAGCTGTATGATGGGAAATATGGTAATGTTTTTGCAAGCACATAAATATAGAACAGTTCTGCTTTTCCAAAGGAACTCTGTGCGATAGCAGTGCCAGCAAAGTCCTCCGGATGTGCTTTGTTTGGTATTCCTGAGCCTTGTATTCCACACCAATTTATAGGTTTGCCAAGAATTTTAAAGATTACTTGAAAAAAAATTGATTAGCTAATATCTTCCTTAATCCAATACAGTTTATGAGCTCAGGATCGGCTCACTTCTATCTCAATACCTCGATGAACATCTGTGTTTGTCAGCTGGCTATCCACAAGGCAGAACTTCCAGATTTTTATTAAAAGCACAATAATGCAAGTTCGACCTTGAAAAGGGGCCCTGGCAACCTAAGGGCTGAACGGTCTTTTGCAAATCAACCTTTTATAAAACAGTTCATAGGTTTGCAAATACAACAGGGAGTGGCAAAATGTTGGCATCGTGACAGCTTCCCATGAGCGTTGGACTGGAACATATCTGTTGTGCTTGATGTTTCCCGGGCAGGTCCATAGCTGGTGCAGATCTCTGTGGCCACACTGACTTCAGGAGAACGGTGTTTATTTACCCTGGTTAATGATCTAGCTGTCTGCCTCAGTAAGCAACTTGTCCTTTCAGTTTAGGGTAAGTTTATGTGACTTGCTTTGTGCCTGTGAGAAATACAAAGGATCGATTCTCCTTTGTCATGCAATCGGTATTAGAATTGAGAGTATTTGAAAATGCATTGCTGAGTTGGAACCCTAGTTCATGAGGCTTTACTGACAGCTTTTTTCATACTTCCAAAATCCTTTGAGTCTTTAATAAAAGTTACACTAGATAAGACCACAAATGCAAGGCAACCCAATTACCTAAGCCCAGATCTGATTAAATGGACTTAAATTTTCTTCAAGAAACTATTTCCAAGTCAGCTGGAAAGCAAGGATGACCATGATTAACAAATATTGTATTACCAAAATAATGTGTCCTTTTCTTTAAAGGAGGAACACTGACAGTAACAGGGACATACTTGTTGGTGACATTTGCTCCAAATGTACCCCAAGAGCTCACAGCAAGACGAGTACAGAATTACTTAGTGAGCTGGCCTTTTTTGGTATATTCGGTGAGTATCTGGTTCATACTACTCCCTAAATCAGAAAAACTGGGGTTATTGGGCTTTTTGCAGCATTATGAATTAGTGGCAGAAAAAATGCTCCTGAAGATAAGTTGTGTGATTTTCACAGGAGAGAGAGCAAGTCTCTGGGTCATCGCTCCAGTTCCCAAGCTGAAAATAAGCTGAACCAAAAGTCTTCCGAACTACGTTCCAGGGAAAGTCACAGTTGTGCAGGATTAACAAGAATGGAAAGATTTTGGGGTTTAGTGGGCTTGAGGAAAAAACTAAATATTGACACTGCTTATATTTCCTATATATGTATTCATGCCACACTGTCTGCATGTACATCTAAGTTACTGTGTTTTTCTGCAATGTGATGGACTTGTGCTTTTAAAAATCAGGCTATGTATGCTCTTGGTCCTGCTTTTTTGTTTCATATCTGTTTTATCCCCATGCTGCTAAGCCTGGCCAAAAGGAGCTTTGTATGGAGTTGAGATGTGGAGAGGTGGCCTGCTTCAATTCCACTCAGGTTAATCTGAACCCGAGTTTGAATTCAAATACAAAAATACCATTTTGATTAAAGTATCTGTATATAAACTTCAAATACCATACGTCTTCTTTGATGTATTTAATTAGCATCAGGAACAAGACCAGAGTGAGCAGGAAGAATTTATCTCTCTCTTTTCCTCTGGAATGCTGAAAATTTGTTCCTCCCGCTGAATGTAAGAGATGGAATATAGGAGCTTCAGAAGCAGGTCCTTTTTTCACAGTAAAGTGACTCACTTGGGTTAGATTATTAGCGTGGTGGATTTTCTCAGTAGGAAGCTCAGTTAAAAAGCCACTGAGTAGACAGTTTAAGGACCTTAACCTTTTAGCCAACCTGCAGGCTTTAAATGCATCTTAACTATCCATGAGACTACTGATTAAGCAGAAAGTACATGCTAACACAAAAAAATCTTGATCCTCTTGCTCAATTTTTTGTGCATTTTAAAAGCTCCTGAAAGATGGTGATACAGCTCAGTGGAAGAAATTAATGATCATGCTACATAACTCATAACATGCACTTTCAATCACGCAGTGGAGAGGCTTTTGAAAGCAATGCCCAAGAGTTTTGCAGTACTCAGTAAGGGTAGCTTCAGCCTCAGCAAGAGCTTCAGCAAATCCATGTAATCAACAGAGGGAGAAGGACTTGTTTAGGAGGTGGTTCAGAACAGGGGTCTTGGTGCTCACTGGAGGACCCTCTCTCTTTCCTACTGAATATCCCCCTCTACCATGCAGTTCCACCTATAGGTACTAAAACAGCCTGGCATTTTAGGCACTGATTTTAAATTGCTGCCTCACCTATTTGTGTAGAGGTGGTGCAGTGAGAAAACTCTCCATCTACACCCAGTGATACCAGATATCTCTGTGCTGTATGGTCTTCACATTTTCTTAAAACCAACAGGTTGCTAGAAAAGGGCTTTTCCCCATCTGAGGACTTTTTTGACTTTGTTTCAAGAAAAGTTAATAGGAACACAGTTGAATGCCTAGGAAGACTGTGCTGTCTAAGGAGACATTCGGAGACTTAGGAGTCTTAGGAGACTCCTTAGAAGACATTATGAGGAGGTCATAGGTAATCCCTGGACTTTCTTTCCCCTCTTCTCCCTTTTCCCTGCCTCAGCATCCAATTCTACATGTACAGCATGGGTTGCAGGGAAGGATGGAGCAAGTACACAGCAAATCTTGTTGACTCAACAACATATCAAGCTTATTTGTTCCTTCTGGTCCCTGGATTCATCTGTTTTGAGCTTCCTCTGTCCAAAGAAGAGGGAGGAGTGAAAGGCTCCACAAGAGACTCTGAGATACCAGCCTAATTATCCTGGTATGCTGCTGGAAGTTCAAGCAAACCCTGCTGTAAACATTCTCTTTGGGCAGGGAAGCAGCTCTTTGTAATTGTTTGTAAAATGCCTAGCACACGTTGGCTGCTGAGATATAAAAAAGTGCAGCAGAAGTTGCAGAGTTTCCAGTATAAATATATAGCGAGGAATCAGTACAGCAGTATAATGCAGTCCAACAGTCTTTCTAAAAGTAGCCCCGAAGTGTGGTCTGCTGAGAAATACAAAGCCCCAATGGTACAAAATGTTCTGTGTGGGTGATAAACCATCCCCATGTGGCACTCCACTGGCATCAGAGAAGTTCTGCAGAAATAGCCTCTAGTTCCCACATGAGACAACTTTGAGTCACCTTCCGAGACTTTGCAGTAGCATAATCATGTCTGAGCAAGAATGACATCCTAGCTTGTTTTTTTTCTTTTGCTTATGTGCACTTTGAGTCACTGCAGAAAACATCAATTATAGATGAAGCTCTTAGGTTTCCCTAAACATAAGCATAGTGAGTATTGGGTTGTTAATATTTAATCTCTGTAAAATCAGGTTCAAAGCATTTCTGCTTTTCCTTCAAAGTGCCTAGAAGATCCTCCTGGGTCATTGGTCTCTATGTTGCTGTATATCCCAGAAAAACAGTTGAGGCAGACAATGTGATATTTTGTTCTGATGCCTTCTGGTAATGCTTAGAAACATGGAAAACATCATTATTATAAAAAAATGTTGATGAGATGTGGGCTTGAGGAGACTTCAGTAGAGATTAGTTATAATAGCAAAAATGATTGTAAGCAGGTCAAGTTCCTTCAATTCCTCTAAACAGAGTATGTGAAGCTGATATAATCTACACACTTCCCATTCCTGGACTTTGTATTTAACGCTATCACAGCTATCAACTATGAGAGCGAGCACTATTTTGGGTAATTCTCAGGACACAATCGTAGGTAACAGCTGGGCCACCCCAGGAGGGTCCCTGTCTGCGTGAGGTTCTGTTAGCAGCCATGCACTCTGCTTGCAGCGTGACTCAAGGTGATGGCCTCTCCCTTGTCTTGTGATTAAAGGTGACCTGTTGGTGGGTCACTGAGAGGCAGAGAACCATGGAAGAATAGTTTGGCTGCTGGGCAGCACAAGGTGAGAACTAATTGTTTGAATTTCATGCTTAGTGTGCGAGACTTGACAGAGCTGAGTAAACTTAAATAACAGCCCTGAAAAGCAAACATAGCTTTCTCCCCAGGTTCGGCCACAGGACTGCCATCTCTGGCCCTACACCACTGCTTCTCTTAGGGCTTCCTCAGGAGGCAGAAGCAGCCAAGCAACAGTGACTTGGCTCAGTCGAGGTCAGTGATGCTCGGCACTACCTGCCACGCCGGGGGTCGGAGTGAGGTGGAAGAGGGAGTGGAGCACCAGAGCTGGTGTAATGGAGCGGTTTGAGCTAGCAACTGTCCCTGGGCTTGTTTTTGGATGATTGTTCTCGCGTAGTTTGAAATTAAGTCACAGGGCAGATGACGATGCTTCCTTCTGTTGGCACTGTTATTAAAGTTGTCTAGGGGATCAAAATGACAATACCCGAGGTGTAGCTGGCTGCCTACAGTAGGACTGTCTCATGGGTTTCTGCACACTCTGTGGCAACCAGTCCAACGATCTGGGAGAGGTGCTCAGGTTTGCACTGGGGGGGAAGCAGGTCTCGCAGTGCTGTCTCACCTGGTGCCATGGCCCCATCCCAATTACACCATCCTGTGTGTGAGTCCTGAACTGGCACGTCGTGGAAGAGACATCTCTGGAACTTCTTTCTTAGCCTGGGTACCTTTCCATGTGGGAAATATTTATTTAGCACAGCTTTCTTCCATTCTGTTAGCAACTGTTCACTGTCAAAATAGCAACTGAAACTATTTGGAGGCTGTTGTAGCTGCAGCCTGATAATGTGATATTCCCCTCTGGCCCTAAGACGTGTTTGCCAGTGGCATGAAGAGTGAAGCTGCTACCTTTACTTCTCCTCTCGAGTTCCCTCAAAACCCTGTTGTAGTTTTCCACGGGGAGGCCAAGATGAACTCACATGCCTGCAGATCTTCTGTCTTCTGCAGACTTCTGCCTTAGTTCCTGATTTAGACATACCCAGTATTACACTGTTGAATAAAGCTGGGGAGGCTGGCCAAGTTACTTGCTGTGAGACTGAGGCAAAGGCCTCTGTTCTACCATCTGGTGGCCCAGCTCTCACCTTTGGGTGCAAGCCTGGTGGGGAGGGATGTCGCTCTGGAGGGAGATGACACCAGCACTCCACAAGAGATCACAAAGATTATTAAACAAAGATTAATCCAGGAATGCTTTTTTTTAACCAACAGCAAAATATTTTATTATACTCAACACGTTTTACAAAAAACCCCACAGTTTGCGCTTTTTTTTTAATCTTGTGATAAATATTTGACATTTTTTAAAGAAAGAAATTTGTGTTTTTAATGTTCTGAGATGCAATTGTCTCTCGGTTGTCTTTGGGAGCAAGGATCAGTGTGAAGGTAAATAAAAAATGCATTAAAGCATAATTATGTTCTGTTCATATTTTTGAACACTGCTAAACTGGGGGAGGTGTGAGCGTGGTAGAGAATTTTAGTAACTGAATGTAGCTGATGGCTGCTTTCCTGCTGCAGTCACTCTCCAAATGAGAAATCGGCTATGTTACATTATATAACTGCCGCTAGTAACTGTTCAGTCGCTTCTTTGGAAATTTCGTCAGCGCAACGCCCAGGTCTTTTCAAGTCTAGTGCTGCTTATGGCGACTGTTGGTTTAAAAGTGGAGTGGCATTATAAAACATAAATTAGTATGTTGGTGATGAAACGAAGGAGATAGACATGAGGTTTTTCTATGACTTTTTTTGTTGGTAAAAAATGACAGTAACCAGATTCATTAATGATGACAATCTCATTTTCTGCCTTATTTCCCCCATTTGATTACTTTCCAACATGCACAAATGAACTTCTCTTTCTCCATGCAGTCTCTAAGGCTACCAGGCTTCTGAGCACCCCTCAGTGCAGAGGTCCATCATCCCTGTTTTCATGAGTCTTCTGTGCTTCACAAAAGATTTTTGGCTCTTGCACTTGCTGTTTTCTCTACGCATGGAAGGGTATTTGGGCAATGTGGGTGGGAGGGAGAATACCCGTGCTTTTGAGATGGCAAAAGGCAAGGGTTACTAAGGGAATCTGCAAAGAGACACATTATCAGCAAGTCAGTAAATTTAACTGTCTATCATTTAGCTCTCAGATGTTATTGAAGGAGCAAGTTTGGACCATTCACAGTGTAGGTAAAGCTGCTTCAGCAGCTGCAGATGTCCTGCAGTGTGGTCTGCTAGTGTGTCATTGAGCTTTTCAAGATAAACTCCTGACAGGTACCCGTGATTTGAGAACCACCACATGAAATAAATGTTTTCCTCCTTATGATGTATGGCAGAAAGTTTGAACAAAAAGACAGTGTTTGGGGGGATTTTTTTTAGTAGGACTGAGAGAAGGGCAAAGAGGGTAGCAACAATAAGCTTGCATGTCACAAACAGTGACATTAGGAATACCATGGCTAGAAGGAGAGACTGCTGTTCCTCCAGGTAAGTGCTTTACTCTTTAGGAACTATAAATAAGAGTTTCTATAAGAATTATTACCGATAAACATGGGTATCTGATGTCACATTAAAAAAGTCTTCTCAACGCTACCAGTGACAAAATATAGCTGGAAGTGCAAAAAGAAAAACTAAAGAAATAAAAAATGCTCAAAGTTTAACTTCTGCTATAATAGGAAAGTTAAATGACAATAATTGTTTGATAGCTCAGTCAACTGGCAATAAGGTTAGTTTTTAGCAGAAGATGCTTAATAAAGTAATTTGCCTTTGAACTGTTGGAGCAGAGAAAATGAATGTGACATCTCAAAGACTTCGAATGAAGCATTTATTACATAGTTTCACAGCTCTAACTTTCTTCCCTTTTATTTCCAGATCTTAGAAATTATGATATTCTGCATTCTCCTCTATTTTTACAAAAGAAAGGCTGTGAAGCACATGGTGGTTTTGTTAATGATGGTAGCACTACTGGGTAAGAACATTTTATTCACTTTAATGTTCTTGTCTGTTACTTGACAATTCCTTGTCACTCAGGCTCCCCAGCTAGTTTAGATCAGGGACATTTCAAAGCAGTGTGCTGAAGGAGAATCGTTGAAACATTTCACATGATTCTTACTGTGGTCTCTTTTTGAAGAGAAAAGCTGATTAAGAAACATAATTTCTATGCTTATCGCTGGGACTATTTCTTTTTACAGATTTCCTGAAATTAATACGCTGTGTGCAATGGTGTTCTGAAGCTTTTTTTAAATAACGCTTTAGCTTTAGATCCTGGGAAAGGGGACTGTTAGTTTTGGAGAGCAGGCTAGCTGTGAAGTCAGTACTTTAAATCAGAGCAGCTTAAGACTTTGTAAGCACTCTGTAAGCAAATGCAGTGATACACTGTGACTGTACAGGACCTTTTCTTTGAATTATTCATGCTTGCATATGCAACATTTCATACTTTACCACCTTTCCAGAAGCATAGCAAGAACTCAGTGGGCCACTGAAGTTTGCCTTCTGATTAACGTTGCCACAATCAATACCCAGGGAAAGAAGGGAGATCATTTTATCAGACAGCTTTCAATAAAATTAAACTTGAATCAGTTTTGAAAAATGTCAGGAGGCTATCTCTAAAGCTCTACTGCTTGCAGGCATATATTAAGAATTTGTCACCACCCCATGTTTTCTCCCATACTTGTCTTGTCACTTGCCATGAAACCCTGATGGGACACCACATTTCTTTGGCTGAAGTGAAAGGTGCTTGAACTGTGCCACTGAAGTCAGTGGTTATATTTTCACTGAGTTCAGTCGGTGCGTGTGTCAGCCTGCAAAGACTAATAAAGCACATTTCTAATGGAGTTGGTCATGAGTGTTTTGATAAAACAGAATTTCACTGAAGTGTGCCAGTTACACAATTTGGATTTAACTGAACGTGAAAAACCCTCACAGATTTATTAACTGCCTGCCTTCAGATCCCTGACTGGTTTCTTACCCAGCTGAAAATCTCAGACTTTCAGATCAACTTTTTTGGGACAGTCTTCCCACTTATGTTTCCCAGCGCTAGGAACATTAGGATCTGTAGCTCTGCAGAAGCTTTGAAGGATTTCCATGCTCACTGCATGAGGCGGAGATGGAAGAGCCCCAAAAACCTTAGGTCTAACTGTTTGACTGCTCTTGATTTGGAGAAGTGAATTGTGCACCCAGCCATCCCTCAGCTCCTAGCATGGAGCCTGGGAGCTTTGGCAGAGCTCACTTGAGCTACTCTGCAGCTTCCAACCCTGCCATGAGGAGCGTGAAGTACTGCGTGCTCCTGAGCGATGAGCGGGTCCAGCCTCCTTGTCGTATAGCTGGAAGCCTGAAGATCCCCAGAAGCCCCAGATGGGCTTCTACACTTGACTGCTGCAGTTCTGGGCAGACCCACCATGATGGCTGCCCCAAGCAAGGCTTACACATGGCGCTGGGAGACCTGGGCCATTGGGCTGCGTAGCCCTGTGTGCTTATTTTGCTGTGGAGCCTGCCAGCCCTGATGCCACTGGTGCCAAAGGGACATGGGGAGCTGCTGAACAGCAGCAGGGCTGCAAACCTGTGCCCCCGCAGGCACTAACTGCAGTTTGGTGGTCAGGCTGCAATCAACCAAAAATAACAATTTCAGCTGGTGGCTGCTGAGGTTTTGGTGGGCATATGCAGCTTCAGGAAAAATGTGTCATTATTTCTGCTCTATTAAAAAAGACACAAACAAACAAGTTCTGTTTCATGGGAACTTTTGAAATACTGACATTTCCCTCGAGCAGGAAACCCAGAACTGTGGCTGGCTCCGGTTCCTGCAGCCGTCCTGGTGCCTGGCAGTCCCCACAAATCTACACTTAGAGCCTTCTGCTTGCTCTCCAACCTTTCTGCTGAGCAAAGTGATGGGGGGCTGAGAGAGGGCCCAGCAGCTTTGCTCCCAGCTGTCTGACACATGCACTGCCCTTGGAGGGCCCTGGCTGCGGGAGGGGTGGATGAGACTTGGGGTCTCTGTGCAGAAAATTCTCGCTGGGAGCTTGTGGAAAGGGATTTCTGCCTTTTCTCACACCTGCACAGATACATTCCTCGTGGAGGGTTTGTACAGATGTAAATGAAATGTAGAAAGGCTTCTTTAAAAAGAAGGCAGTCTTTGTGCTTCATTGGATATGAGACTACTTTCATTATGAAGAAATACAGAGGTGATGAGAAAATCTGCAAACGTTTTGCTTAGTACAACTCTGCAAGTTCATTTGGTGAGAATTATCTTACCTCATATATATATTGGGAGTTATCATAAGTTTGGGGGGAAATATTTCAGATTAAAGTGGGATTTCTGAGTTTCCTGCCCTAACAGCTGGAAAGTGACATCATTTGTCACACGAGCCTTGGGGGGGTCATTCTATCAGAGATAGGAAAACCATTTCCTAGGTTTTGAAACTTATTCCAGGGTTACTTTAACTAAAAAATCATTCCACTCTTCAAAAAAAACCCAAACCAATCAACCAACAAAAAAAACCCCTGATGCTTTCTTTTCTGGTTTGTTAAAACTTAAGGAATGGAAACTGTCCTTTCATCAGAAACAAATTTTCAGCAATCTTTACCCTTAGTTGGACAATTCAAACCACTAATTTTTACCTGTGAGTGTTCTTTTAAAATAATAACTCCCCCATGTTAGAGTGCAAATCTCAATTTTTATGTAGGCTGCTTGTTGGGGCTTGAGTGTATTTTTTGGCTTTTTATCATACCATTAACACCACTGCAGGCCAGGATTTGACCTCCTCTGCTCACTTTTACTGCTGTGTTTGTTAAACTACTCCACCTATTTCCATTACAGAGCAAGAAGTGAAGTACTAGGTGGAAAGGTTGTCATGAAAACGGTGGATTTCATGGCGGTGAACAGGATCATCACAAGATGTATGCAACTCTAAAACTCCCCCTGAACTTTTGGACTTGCTATAAGAAAAATGCTTGCAATCAAAACCACAGACCTGAATTTGTTCTTCTTCCCCCACCTTTCCTCCCAACCCTCGGCCTGAACTTTTTGCACAGTGCAGCTCTCCCTGCCAATTTGAATTTTGCAGTTACAGGAGGATGAATCAGACCACCGAAATCCAACACTCCTCAGCTCTGGAAGAGGGTGGAACTGGATCCCAGCTGGGGGACGGTGCTCCTGACGATTAATTATCTTTCTTCAACAGTCATCTCTGCACCTTGACTCTTCTTATCATTTTTAGTTTCTTTTGAATTTGTTACATTTTATTTGCAGTAATCACAGCCTACTTGGGTTAGCTTCAACAAACCAAGAGAGCACTCCAAAATGAAATCTAAAGTAACTCTTAGCTGAACTGTCAGCCCCTTTTAGAAAAGATGTATATTGCAAGACTTCTCTGAACTGGCGACATGTATTAAAATCACTGCCTGCTGTCAGAGATTTGTTTGTGGTGACGCAATGACAGTGACTAAATGGATTGAAAACACACTACTGAAGTATTCTATTCAGTGGGCTAAATCCAGTAATGATCTTAAAAAGCCTGGCCCCTGAAAAGAAACAGACCCCTGTGTTGGTTGCCTGCTCTCTGTACATAACCAGTGGGGAGAGTTAGGTGCTTTGTGGTGTGATCCCAAAAGTCGGCTTTGGCCAGCTTTGGCCAGCTCCCGTCTCAGCAGAGAAATCCTGAGGGTGCGAAGTTATTTTATGCTGCTGGTGTCACATGCAGGCTGCTATTAGGAGGTGCCCCAGCTGCTTTGAACAGTTAACGAGACCTCTCAGACCTCTCCTGAATAATGCAACATGGGCTCCAAATTAGCAGCTGGAGCTAAATAAAGTATGTCTGGAAGATGTGGAGGCTGTTGTACCACCTCTGACTGGTAGTCCAGTGTTTAGGATGTGTGCCCAGCAGTGGGAAGTAGATCCAGTTCTTTCCTCTACCTGAGCTTAGCCTCTCTCACACATGCACACAGATTTTATCTGACTCTAACCTCAGCTACCCTTTGAAAATGGGGAAGCTTTAGGTAGATGCAGGGTTGCAGACCTCGGTGCTATAAGAACTTTCAAGCAAAACACGAGGCACACATGGAATTAAGGCCAATCTGCGTATAGGCAGTAGCTTAGCGAATGTTTATAAAATCACATGCTTGGCTTTAGGTGCCCAAATCCTACCTCAGTGTGTCTTCAGGTGATCAGCTCTGTGGCTCTGACCTGACACCTTGTCCTCCCTCACTGATGCTCTGAGGTCCCTGCTGTGAATCCTGCCCTGCTAATCTCTCCCTTTCCCTTTCAGCATCGCTGACTGTCATTGCTGTAAAGGCTGTGGCCAGCATGATAACACTCTCTGTGAAGGGGAAAATGCAGTTAACTTATTCTGTTTTCTATATCATGACTGTTTTAATGGCAACTTCTTGTGCTTTCCAAGTCAAGTAAGTGAGTTTCTACTTATCTCCTAACATTTGTACCCATTTATCTGTCAGTTTTGTTCAGTACTGATATTGACTCCAGACCCAAGTTGCACTTAAAGGCAACAAATTCCTGGCAAAGCCTTGACAGATGCATGAATTGCCTGCAGCTGATTACATTGTTAATTTAGGCTTTACGTCTCAGTTTATAATTGATTAGTTACACAAATGTTACCTCATCTCATTATCACCCTATACAAGGTCTTCCCAAATTTAGTTCTAGTTTTGGCACAGGTTTTGAACTCATGAAATGAAATTTATGTTTATGTAATATTATTTTTTGTTACTTTTAGCAACCTTCATTGCTGAATAATCAAATGGCCACGCTTACCCTCATTATGCATCTCTTTTCCCTAGCTTATGTCACTTGTCAGACCGAAGAAGAGAGTTTACCCCAACTTTCTCCCTGCCTCTGTTAAATCTGCATGTTGCACTTCGCTACCCTCTATGTCTGTATCTTTTTAGGAAATAGCTAACTTTTAGTGTGCAGGGGACATCAGAGTTTTCCCTGCTGGCCTCTGGCCTGTGAAGTGATTGTTTTATGCTGCCTTTGCACATTGCTGGGGGTGGCAGCATGGTAAAATACAGCTTGCAGCTGAACAGAGAGTCCATTCCCTTTATGCTGGTCCCTCTGCTTCAGGTGCTGATAGCGTCGTTCAGTAATCTCATCTAGACTGCTCCAGTGTGAGTCTGAGTGTTTGCTTGCATGATTATTTTCCGGTAGAAGAGCCAACCCAGCTTTCTCGTGGCAGAACATACAATTCCCATGTGGAATCAGAAAGTCCATGCGTTATTATGCACTGACTCTCCATGGCTGACTCAGGAACTCCCCTGTAGCAGATTATAGAGTGATTTACATCCAGCTTGTCTTCACTGGGAGAAAAGCTCAGGGCATTTACAATAGGAAATAAAAGCTTGGTAAATAGGAAGCTGCTGAATTAACCTCTCCTTCTTGCCAGTTTTTTCTTTCTTTCATTTGCTGGGTCAAAATTAAAACAGAAGTGAAATGTGCCCGTTTCATCCCCTGGGTTCAGTGTCTCTCTCTTCTCTGTTGGACACATTTTCTAATGGAGACAGTGCTGTCAGTCTAAATTTTTCATTTTATTTGTTTCCTCTTTTATTTTATTTGACTGTCTTGTGTTAGGTCAGAACAGCCTGTGCTGCAACATCCTCCTGGATTCAATGCTGGGCCTTGGTATTACTGTTTTAGTCCCTGTGACCAAGTTTGTTGCAAATGGAAGAAAATAATGAGGTGTTTTCAATGACTTCAAAATCCTGACTATCCTGTGGATATGTAGGATTTCTTTATTTTTAAAGCACCATGGAGACTGTTCAACAGTTGCTAAAATAACCATACAATTACTTTAATGGCTAAAACAGATCCAAGCTTGGATTTTTACTGTGCATATATATTGTACCAGTGAAACATTTAAGTATGGTTCTTTTTATAGGTTTTGAATACACTCTGCAGCCTCCTGATTTTTCTCTTTCGGTCTGAAATGCACCATTCACCTAATAGAGTATCTGCTGGTGCATCCGAGAGTTCACACTCATGATTCATCACCCTATGGGTAAATGTTGATAGCTCTGGTCTCCGTACAAGCGGGTTAATTGCTTTGCCTTTTTCATCCGCTGATGCAGACTGTGCAGGCTGCTCCATGGCCAATGTCTCAGTCCTGCAAGTTTGTGTGCAGTGTACGCTCCTGTAGTCCTGCGCACTCTTGCTCGTGATTCTGGTGAGGGTTTGTATTGCCTTTTTGAGGAGCACAGCAGAGAGTTTCCAACCCAAGCAGCACAGGCTTGGAGCCATCTTCCTGGACTTTCCCGGCAGGACAGTGTGTCTGGGGTATGATTGCATGGATAAATATACAAATATGTGTTTTAGCCAAGTTGGATTGAGCAGTAGCAGCTATGTGGACTTCAGCAAAGTGAAACAGTTCCTATGAGGACTTGCGTGTTCATATCTGTGCTGGAAATATACCCTTACACAACCAGTTTAAATTAGAGCAACTTGTCCCTGGCCGCTCACAGGCAGTACTGCTTCCAAGAACCGATGCAGACCATAAGCAGTAATATCCTAGCATTCCTCCCTTATCTGTGGCAGACAAAGTTTTTCCAACACAGCTTCAAAGGACTCTCCAATGACAGGCTATGGCCAGAAGAATCCACTCCAACCTTCTTGTTTTCGCCTATTTGTTTGTACTCTGCAGAGTCAAAACCGGAAGGTAAATTCAATACACGTACGCATCTGTCCAGGGCTACTTGCTATTGTGGTAAGAAATGGTCACACTTATTGTTAAACTGACATAAAGAGACTTAACCTGACTTAAATGAACCTCCTGTAGGCGTGAGGTGCAATAATGCTTCTCTTCCAGGTTCTTGAATCAAGCAATGCATCTGTACGAAGCGACAGCAGTTGTGCCCATGAATTTTGTGTTCTTCACCACCAGTGCCATCATCTCAGGTTTGTTTCTGGCCTTCTGCCTCTACAGAACGATTTTGTAAACATCGGGTTTTCAAGAATTACTGCCTGTGCACAGGAACACAAACCAGTCATATTTGTCTTCACAAAAAGAAGTTTTTGCTAAGTTACAGGTGTTTAAGTTCTGAAAAATGAGTAAGTTCACAACTTTTGAAGCAAAATAAAGATAATCAAATTCTAGCATTTCCAGAATTGATATGTACAATTTACTCTGCCTTCTTGGCTTATTAGAAGTACCTGCATTTATCCTAGCCTCATCTTGACATCCAGTAAATGCGTTTACCATGTGCACACCAGCCTCTCTACATCCAAACTGGTAGAGTAATTTTAACAGCCTGGCAAACTACTCAAATGACAACCAGCTGTGTTTCATAGTAGTTAGTGTATATTCCGTTTCAGAAGGTGGAATTCTAGGTTAAGTGAAGGAAATAAAATGACTCCAAAGACCTTTTTAGCATTTAACATTTTATTCTGGGTGAGAACTTTGAACTCAGTGTTGTTAAAGAGGGACTGCAAATCTTGGAAATGGTACAGCGTAAGAACATGAGCAGGGAGGACGACTAAGATGCAGTATCAGCAATGAGCCAAAATGATCATGTTGTTAGAACATTTATGACTCATTTTAACACACACTGGGGGCTTTCCTGTCATTGCTGTGCAGGAGTTTCTCATGCAGAGCTGCCATTAATGAGAAGGGGAGTTAGCTTCATGCACAGATTGCCTCAGCACCTGTGTTAGAAGAGACCTACACTTTGTGACTAAGAGGAGACTTGTGCCAAAAAGGGGTTGCGTTCTTGCGACCATATGGGGAATTTGGCCTTGTGCCTCCTTAAAAGATCAAGTACCTATTCAGGAATGGCTTAATAGCTTTGAGACTGGATACACATGCATTTGCACCAGGTTAGTTAAACCAGTGTACAGCTTAGAAGAACAACCTCTGCTGAATCTTGCTGGGGTCCTCATAGAAGATACCTCATTTCATGATTCCCCCAGTTACAGCCTTTGAAGATACAGTCAGACCAGATGTGCTGGTTCACACTCTGGTGTTTCTAAGCAAAACTGTGCTCATCAGTGGTTTAAAGCTAATATACTTGGCTGTGAATTGGGGCAGCTGAGATCCAGATACACATCTGGTTCTGTCACCTCCACTGCAGAGGTGCTAATTCCTGGAAGAAGGGTGACCAGAAAGAGCTAGTGATCCCTTCAGCCAGAAAGATTCGGCAAACTTGGCTGCTGGAGCCCTTAACTTGGTGTAAACATCAGGGGGACAGCTAGTTATCGAAAACCTGTTCCCAACTGGAGTTAAGATGTCCGCATGGTCTGTTGGAGTGACTTAACTAAATCCATGAAGAACCTGTTAGCTATATTGGTATGACTCTGCTTGTGAATAAGACCTTGAGTTTGACCTGCATAAAAACTGTTGCTGACAATGCAAAAAATACCTGCATCTGTGCAGTTACTAACACAGCACATGCTCCAACCTGATAGACTAAATCTTCTCCAGTCCCATACAGTATCTTGAGAAAGCCTAAATAATGGAATATGGGCACATAACGTGAACCCATCACAATGTGTATTAATACCTTATTTGGGATTTTTTTGCTCTGTTTGAGCATGACACTGCTCCTGACCCTCCCAGCTGTAATTCATATCACTTGGAAGCTAGTCAAGATCTGCAATTCTTGTTTCTGTCACATTCCAGGGGTCATATTTTATCGGGAATTCCAAAGTGCAGCTTTGCTGAGCGTGTTCATGTTTCTGTTCGGGTAAGTGTATCGGCCTAAAATCTGCACTAAAATTTGTACTGGAACAGCATTGCTTTGCGGAATCCCTTCTTTTCTCAGTAAGAAGAAACCCGTCTTGTTATTAAAGTATTATGGAATAGCCATTATAGTAGGACAAAAAAACATTAAAGGAAAGATTGATGTCTGTGCTTTGGGAGTTCGGAGGCCTGGTTTTGAATCCAAATATGTAAAACTGTGAGACACTTATGAGCTACTAATCTCATGATGGAATGAAAAACCAGCAGCATGTGTTCCTCCAGCAGGAAGGAGAAGTCACTGCTTTCCACTAAAGATCATGTTACGGGGGTGCTTTTACAACCGAGAGAAATCTCCTCCCATGTTACCTTGCGTGTCCGGCTGGTCTTTGCTGTGGGCAATGACATGAGTTGCTTGCCTACAAGGCAGTGCTGTAATATCTCTTCCTCATCCTCCTGTGCCGAGAAAGACACAGCACGCCTGTGGAAAAGTTCAGAGCATGCTAAGAAGCTGTTAACAATAAATGTTTGAAGAAGGGCCTAGATGCTGTGAGAGCAGAAACCTTCTGCTGGCTACCAGCACTGTAACACCTCTAGGGACAGGTGACAGTTACTTGATAATGGGTGTGAGACGGTTAAAAGCATCTCCCAGAACTGGAGGTGTCTTGCCACAGTGCTGTCAAATAAATGGGGCTGATAGCTACAGACATCTTCGTGCTCTGTACACAGAGAGTACATCTCCACTCTCTGTGTGGACCAGAGTAGGTGCACACAACCGCTATCTTGTTTGACTGGAGGAAAAGTGACAGAAAATGGAGATGAGCAAATTCAACCCATGTATTTGGCAGGCAGGAATTAGTTGTTGTGTGTCCAACACAGAGCGGATAGACAATTTATCCAAGCATAGCAGTTTCTCATTGCTCCTGGCTTACTGCTTGCCCCTGAGACACACAGTCAAACGAGAAAAACAACAGAGATGTTGATTGTCTGCAGCTAGACTGAGTTGTTAATGAAATTGCAAATGCTAGAATGCTAGCTTAGATGCTCTGTGAAGATTTGCTCAGGGATTCAAATGTTGTGTTCTCACACTCACAGGCATTTGATTAGGTATATATTGCTGAAAGTGTAATTTTGCCTGTGGAGCCTTTGGAACTGATAATAAAGCTTCAGGAGGCAAAAAATAGACTGAAAGGTAGCCCAAGATGAATTTATGGAGCTGCCAGGAAGAAAAGTTTCTTTATAAACTGAGCAGCTTGGGTTTGGAAGTCCTTGAAAAAGAAACTTGGAAAGAAATCCTCATCTCAGATGCAGTGAACAGTTTCTAATGATACTATGCCACTGTTATTTTGCAGGTGTCTCCTATCTTTCCTTGGTGTATTTGTAATTGCAAGAAATAAAAAAGAGGAGCATTTGCAAATTCCTTTTATTGACTGTGGACATATTCCTGGTAAGTAGGGCTTTTTTTCTGTCTGTTCAAAAATGAGATATCAGATAATGGGATGACCTAGGAGAGTTGAGTCACAAATGTGCTCTAGTCATATTTAATAAATATACTGTTCCCTTATTTTCTATTCCTGTTCCCAATAGATTTTTCAAAGAATTTTTCAGAGTTTTTCCAAGCTATTGTTACAACCAGTCAAATGAAAACAATGATTACTGGAGCAAAGAATGTTTAAATGATGGATTGGTGGGGGATTTGTTTTATTAAAATTCTTCACAGAGCTGTTGTTTTTCCCTTCTCTCACCCCATTTCCTTAGGACAAAAATTGACAGGCAAAATACAACCAGATTCTCACAGTTCACGCTATGGCACTTTGAATAATGAAGATGACTCGGTGAAAAGTCAAAGCTGAAAGAAGAAAGCACCTTACATGCCAATTAACAGGAGGAATGCCACTGGAACAAGGATTAGCAGCACCTTTTTATTGGTCATCTTCAAGTATATGTTGAACTCCTGTATGTTGATGAGTCATAGTATTATTTAATCCTATTTAGTTTATCCCATGGCTGTCCCAAATGTGTTCTGAAGAAGATAAAGGAAGCCTTAAGAAAAACTAAATAACCATTAATGAAACTGAACATTCTCCTAGTATCAATGCCTCTTGGGGATATTTTTAGAATCTTAATTGCCTTGAAATGTAAATAGGCACAGAACAGGATTATAAAAATTCCCCTCTGAAGCCCCCCAGGTCTGTGTAGATGCTTAATGAGAAGAATTTTCATAAGTGACTTCAAAGTATTCTGCTATGTGTATAATACCTTTAAAAATCTGATACTACCTGTTCAGGAGTCAAAACTGTGGGTATATATACAGTATACAAACAAATAGGTACACACAAAGTATTTTATATTATGTGTGGAGGGAAAATCCTGATTACCTCTGCCCTCAGATTAATTCTCTTATCTTCCAAGGAAATAAACACTTGTATGAGGAGGGGGAAGGAAGAGAACATTCGCCATAAACCTAGGCACGTGTGCACATGCACATATTTTTGGTGCCCAGCCAAGGCAGAGCTAGGGAACTACATCTTCCCAGGAGAGTCCAGTGCACTGGGCTGGACTGGACTGGGCTATTCTATCTGTTTGTATAGTCTAGCCTGAGGTTTAGCCTCTGTTTTCAGGAAAACAATGTTTTAGTGAAGAAAGTGCAAAGTTCTCCAGAGCAAATAGGGTAGCCAGGCTCCCTTCCTTGATGTCTTGGAAAAATACTCCTAAAAAAGAAAAGTAGGGCAACTCCTGCCTCCTTCCTAAACTGCTGGTAATTATGGATGAGGAAAGGCTGTAAAAAAACAGGATCACAAAGAGTTATGGCAACAGTACAATTTTTCCTTCATTAAATGGTAGTGTCTCTACACTGATTTGAAGAGCCAGCAGTGATAGGAACCATGGCAGTACAGGCTCTGTGTTCAGGTCCTGGAGATCTCGGTGTCCCTCAGCCCCAGCTTCCTGGCAAAAAAGCTTCTTCTGGGCATTCATCGTGGGTCCACTTACCCCTGCCTGGTAGCACTGATCTACCTCAGCTGGCACAGTGGGGGTCAGACACCTCCTCTGCAGAAACAAGTGAAGGTGCTCTTGAAAAGTGTTCGCGTCTAGGACAAGATACTTTTTTCAGGTGTGAATTAATCTGCAGTAATGGATAGGGGCCATAGGCTGTCTGTATTTTGTTTCAGTGGGATATGAGGAAATGAGGTCTCTTTTTTTCCCCAAATAATTGTTTATTTCATTTTAAAACAGGTACAGCTGAAGATCCATAAGACAGTTTCATTTCAAACCCTACAAAGCGCACACAGAGCTGCATTTTTTCCTATGCAGCAATGTCCCAGGAGCCAGGGCGCGGGACGGGGGGCTTGTGAAGTTGTTTTCCAATGTGGATCTTTTCCAGCTGGCACAGGACAAGACTCTGTGTCTGCACCTTACTTGTACCAGCTGCCTGGCTGTGGCCTTCCTTTCCCCTCTTACAGCTTGAGTTCAAGTTTCTAAAGCTTAAAATAAAAAAAAGAGCACATTCTTTTCATATGCTTTCTCCAGGGAACAAGGGCATGCCTCTATCTTTCTTTTGCAAGTCAAATTTAAGCCACTTTCTAAGTCTCAAGTGAGAGTGTGTGCTAAAGATGGAAATAAGAGACCTACAGTTTTTCATTCTGTGACCTGGGAAACAAATGGGTGAAAGGATTTGGTTTTGTTTCTTTTTTAAATGATTGCCCTTGGGCATCATTCCGAAATCTGTTTCCATGATTCAGGAGGGCTGGAGGAGATAATAAGGATCACCAGGTGTAAGATTTTCTCTTTAAAGCAGGAAATTAAATGTAAAAATCTGTGGCAAAAAGTTATTTATTTTGAACTACTGTATTTCTTCTTGAACAACACTTCCTTTCTTCCTATGGGTTTATACAAAAATTATAAGGGTTAAAATGTTTTCTGTGAACTTGAATGTAATTGAAATTAATTTATGGAGCAAAACACTGGCGGGAATTATGTGCAATTAAAACTTGTGATTTGACATGATTTTTGAGACGTGAGCATGTTCCAACTGATTAACGTATTACAAGATCGGAAAAACTCAGTGTTGAGAATTCATTACTGCTCTGCCAAGAAAGGGACATGATTTGTTTCAAGAATCAGTTTCTAATCAATGTCGTTTTCAGATTCTACTTGCGATATTTAGGTTGCAAACACCACAGGCAAATGCCTGCTAAAAGAAAAGCTTTTTCACTGGAATACAAAAAAGTCTCTGGAGTCCTTCTCTTTAATAATGAGTTATTTTCTTGTGATGTTTTTCCTGACTTCAAAAATGCGGGTCAGATATAAACTGCAAAACTTGCACCTGCAGACTGAACTTTCTTGAACAGATCCTCCACGGGATCTGAGGAAATCAAACCATGGGAAGGTGTGGTGGGCAGGTGGCGGCTCACATGGTCCCCCAGGCTCCAGCGTGGGATTTTTGACAGACCAGAACCAGCAGGACTCGTTTAGCGCTTGTTCCATGGCTGGTCACACTGCGGTAAGAGATGAAGTATTAACTGGCCATGGGCCTGGAAATGGGAGCTCTGGAATAGAGTGAGGCTGTTTAATTTTTGCCATAAAATATCAGGATGCATTTACCAAATGGTTTCAGCTGGCAAAAAATAAATTAATCTTGGACTGGATTTGTTTTTCTGCCCAGGGTATGGGTGTGGCGTTCACCTGGCAGGCTTCTTGCCTGCTCCTCGCTACAGCCCAGCTTTTCGTGGCCTCATGTTCTGCATGTAAGGGCACTGGTCACCTAAAACCAAAGGAGAGAGGTCGGACATTGCAGGGGCTTGAGCTTCTGTGCTTTGAAGCTGTAGTTTCATTCACCTGCTAGTGCTGCTAGATGTCTTTTACCCTCTTTTCCCCAGCTGTGAGGTCTTGCATGGCCTGTGGTTCTCTGTGAGCCAGTTCAGCTCACTCACCCCGCAGAAACCATCTGCTTGCTTCTCCTTGCTGGGTTGGCTCAGCTCAGAGAGCCAGCCAGACTGACCGGAGCGTTTGGTGGGAAAGAGGGGAAAAGGAGGAGAGGGTGTGAGACCTCCCTTCTTCAGGGGGAAGTATTACGTTAGTTTTCTCCTTCTGAGGAGCTTCACTGTACAGCAAGCATCCTGCTAAGCCAAATCATATGTCACCATGTCCTAAATGCAGCAGTTATGAGCTTCTTGAAGCATTTTAAAGTGTCTGACTCCTGAGCAAAACCCTTAGGCAGACTCACTGGGCTATGCATAGTGAGCGTTGAGTGGCTTCACACGGGGCTAAGATAGGCATCTTGTGGCATGAGGAGTGTCCTAAGGTCAGCTAGAAGCCTGGACACGTTTCTGACTATACAAATTGTTCTAAGGACTGATTTTTTTCTTTCCATTGACTGTTCGCTGTAAGGGGCATAAACAGTGCTGGAAGGATGGACTGGGTCTTCTTGGGAGCTGGCGGAGGAGCTTGCCAAGC